GTTATAGACACACATATGATAAGGAAGTAAAATGCCTCAACAAATTGGGTTTTAAAAGAAATAATTATTAGCCGTGTAATTAACCTTGTTTTTAAAACTTAAACTAATTATTGCCACTTAGTTTTAGGTTCTGGAATTTATTGCCTAAAAACAATATTTCAAATAGTAATTGTTATTGGCCTCTTAAGTTCAAAACTTGGCGATAAATATTACGTCAAATTGTGTTCCTGTTGACTTACCTTTCCCTAAACGATCGAGGTGTTAATTTTGTCCAAAAATATTTATTTTGGAACTTTACACCTATTTTTTATTAGCCCGGAGAGATAGCGTGATTTTTGTTTCTGTTTATTAATTCACACCTAATAACTAGCCTAATCAAATACTGGGCTAATATTTCTATATCTCTCCGATATTGACGTAGGATTCGGCAATATATTGATATCAGTGGTTGTGTTTTTTATGTGGTCATTGAACGAATATTCTTTTGAGATAAGTCTATTTTGGTTAAACTGGGACAATAGATAAAACCTCTATGGGGGATCCCGCCAAAAAACTGAGTAATACTTCCAGATACTCTCATGGAACCAATGACTCAAGTAGCCAATTATTAAAACATGTATCTACTGCTATAGTTAATAGTTAATTATGCAAATTGGCATCGTCTTTGTTTTGTTTTCATTTTTTTGTTGACAATGCCAATGTCAAGTTCAAAGTTCTATAGCCACAACCGCACTGACATATTAATTGATAGAACTTGTCTATCCATGTTTGGGACTACAATGAATTCATGTTAGTTGGTTGAATAGAAAATTGGAAAATTCTCTTGTTCCGTTGACCGGGGGTTGTCTCTAATTAATATGCCAAACGATGTTGGGGAACTGAAGTTGCCAGCTAGAAGGTGAATGGAACCTAGAGATTCACCAACAGAATTTCAATTATGCGGCGTGTCAGTGCAATAAACCCAAGTACAGATCTGACAGCGTCTGGTAGCTGAATTTTATTGATAATTTTAATTAGTTACGACTGCTTCCGGTTAAAACGGCAAAATATTTCTCAAACGACGATAAAAATAAATAATGTATGACGTTGAGAGTGCAGGAAAATAATGTTTCTGGGGTTTGTTAAGATAACCCCATATGTTAGTTAACCCAGAAAACACTTACTTGTTGCCAAGTGCCTCTTTTTAAATGAAACCAAAAAGCAAAAGTAGAATAAATAGACTGCCATTTCCATTTTAAATGTATGCGAGTGTCAGAAAGGTGATTTTTATCGGCTTACTTCATTTATTTTAATGAGAAATTGTCGTGTTATTTTAGGCTCTAAAATCTAGAGCATATATGGCTAACCTGCCTGCAGACTATCCACTAAACAGTGTTTAATTATAACCATTATATTGTACTTTGGATCAGCGTAATCACCTCTGATTAGAGTCTAAAGTACTGATCTCCCGTCTATGTATTGCTAAAGCCTATGGCATATAACAAACACTTGAACTAGAAACTCAAATTCCTTATCACTAACTTGTAGTTTTATTTCTATAAATATTTCCAGACCAATTACATGAGGATTTTTAATAAAATAACATCATTTTCTTGGTGATCTTTCAATTAATGTGCCACTGTTGTCTTTATAGTGCAATTCACATGTCATTTGTTTGGTTTATGGCTTTGTTTATATCTCTATTGCTACTAAATGGCCAACTAGATTTCTATTTTTCAATGGACTGGTTTTTTCTTATCGCCAGACTACTGTAAAAATAAGAAATTAATGCGAATTCGTGGCTAATGGCGGAGAGCAGACGGAAATTATTTGAATATTTGCAAATTGGTTTGTTTAAGTTGGCGTATGCGGATGTCTTTACTGAACTAAACTGTCTTCTCTTTTTGGCTTTCTTTAGGAAGGGTTTTGAGTAATTAAAAATATATATTTCAGCAGCCTAAAGCCCTGTTCCCAAGCCTTGTTCTGGATAATTAATTGTTGGTAATTAATTGTGAACTTTATTGAGACTCTTTGTGTCGCGACAACCTGTTACTCATTCGAGTATGCTAATTTTATAACACAAATTCGACCCTTAATTTCCGCATTAATGTCTCTTTAAGGTGCACTCAACCGAAAACTGTACATTTGTGTATTGGTTATTAGTCCCCCATATATAGCCAGTTTATTGATACGCTAATTTACGCAAATACGTGATCGTTTGAGGCATGTGTTTTACGCCCAAGCGCCGCCTGCCCCAGCTGGGTACAATTGCCCACTTGGAATGTAGTCTCTCCATGACCCATTATTTCAATTAACTTGTAAACACTTTACTCTACTTATCGAGACCGCCCCGAGCATATGACAACCACACTATATCTATTCTCTATCAAATAGTTGTTCCTCTATCGCAGAATCTGGGGAGGGCCAAAAGGCATTTGGAAAATTGTTTGTCAACAAGAGGTCATTAATTTATTTGCTACAAAACAACACTGGTAATCAGCAGAAAATATTTCTTAGGGGTCTCTGATTATTTTGCTTTCCAAGCTATTCAATTATTTTAGGGAGGAGGCACTTCCCAAAGGTGTTTCGTGAGGACAGTCTATTATTAGTTAATGTCATTGATTATTCCCCTAAGCTGTCGAAAGATGGGCTAGTATTATAGTTAATATCAGTGTATACCTCATACAAAGTCAATCAAGCTTGAAGTGTTGTCTTTTTAAACTAAACAGTGATACTGAGAGTCTATTTTATAATATTCTTACTGAAAATTTTATAAAAGTTTCCCCTTAGACCGTCTTGTTTATGTTTGCATTATTTTTCTGAAAGACACTCTGTTATATCATGACACTCTTGAGTTACTTGAGAAAGCGCTTACAAAAATTTCCACTCTTCCAGGTATATATATATTTCTTGATTACAGTATAAAGATGTAATACTATATAGTATACCTACAAAAGTGTGTATATGGGCATTTATTCAATTTTTTATTAATATTCAGGCCGTCCACTGACGTAGATGGGCCAATCTCAATTGATAGCATCCCTCCTAGCCGATTGTATATATTTCTATATAAATATTATGTACTACAACAACTCATGTACATTTAAAAGTATTCTATAATATTGATTCGACTTTATCAGTTTCTGCCTCCAATCTAGCTTTCGACTCACTCTAGCTATCTCCGGGGGAATTCAATCAGGGCCACAGCAACAAGTTCTATTTATTTTGTCTATATATATAGAGTTTGCTATACAAAAAGGGGCGTGGCATGGCAATAACTGAGAGGTCTTACTGTTTCTGAGAGCCCAACCCTGCTCGTTTCAGAATTCGCTTAAAAAAAATACTTTTAATTGCCGTGTGGAAATATTTTTCAATTGATGAGTGACTTTTGACTTGCGTTCCGAAGGGTGAGCTTTAGCTCTAGCTCTATCTTTAATATTCTAATTTGAAAGGGAATCCATTTTTCAGTAAAGTTTATAAATAATGTTCGATAATATAGATATTGAGGGAGGCCCTGCTGTCTGAAAACTCGTCAATCTCGTGGCCAGAAAAACAAAACAAGTGCCAGTGTGAAACTTAATACCCATCGTTCGTCGCCTTTAAACAAAAGCCGATCTCAATTTACGTCTGGCTTTAGCACACGAACAGTTCATCAACAAAAAAGTCATTGTAAACAGTGTTCTGGCCAAATAACAACAACCAGCGGCGCTGAAATAAATAACAAGCCAAGATAAGCGCAATAAAATGATACACAAAAGGCGGCAACTTGCTAACTAAGCTAATTAATTATATTTATTTTGCAGGTCTTTGTTTAGCTTGTAAATTTGTGAAAACTAAAGAAAATATAACAAGAGATGTATAGACTAAAAATAAAGGAAATTATGAATGAAATTAAATAATATTCAGAAAGTTTCAAAAGGAGTTTAGCTTCCAAGTTCTTTAAAATATTAAAGATTCTTAAAACTCACAAGATATACACATATATGCGGCAAGTAACCCGCCTTATCTATCAGTCTGTTGATATTTTTTTGTCGACCTACGACATTTCACTTTATTTTGTCAGTCAATGGCCCCTTTGGAGGTTGCATGTGACACGCCACAGATCCATTTCAACAGCTTTCGGTCCCTAGGGCCTCTCCAAACGAAAGTCTTGTGGACTTGTATGCTCATATCGTTGGCATTGACATTGGTGGTTCCTACATCGATCTATAATTAGTGGGGTGCCTTCATTTAGATGTATCTACAAAAACCATAAATACATAGCCGCAAAGCTATGTGGGCTGTGGGGAGGAACCACAAAAAAGGTAAATGGATACCCAGAAGGGGTGTGTGTGGGGATGGCGGCTCAACTATTATATTTGTCTGGAGCTTAATGGCTTGATTGATTCTCAGTTTTATGCCGATAAGAGGCTTCAATGGAATCAATGATAGGACGTGCCTCCTAAACTACAACAGGAGGACTTACGCATGGATTATCTAACACACAAAATAGAAGCGCTCATAATATATGGTAAAGGGGCCAACTGTCGTCATGAATATGCGCCCTAGTACCCACCATATACTATATTATATAGACACCCAATATTCTGGCAGTACTGAAGGCTCGTTCCGTTCCATTCTATTTCATTTCCATTTTATTGTCTAGTGTTTGGAATTTGGTTTCTTTTTCTCTTTGTATTTTGCACACAAAAAGAAATTAAATCACGCGCCTGATTTCCATATATGTACTTCTCTATTTATTTACTTTGTTTTTTGGGTGTGATGGTGTTGTGCTCGATTCCAAATGATTTTCAATTGGTTACGTTTGGACTGCCATAGATATTGATGGATGGCATTTAAATGAAGCGTGAAACGATGACAATCGATTGTTGGGGTTCAGTTCGGGGTTCACCGTACACCCGACCACGACATGGCAACAAGTGGTTCTTCTTTACTATTCTACAAGGGGGCTCGTTCTTGATTCTTGATTCTCTATTCTTGAGTATTTTTAATTGATTTATTTGTTTTGTTACTCTTTATAGATCCTACGACCACCGACGGACATCAAAATGGAAATGTAAGTGTTATGAAATAATTAAAAAATAAATTATATAATAACCTGTACCCTTTCCTTTGCACTTTTTAGTGAAATTGGTAGCGAACCACCGCCACCTCCAAAGAAGTTGTCCAACTTCATAGCCAATCACTGGAAAGGCTTGGTGGTCTTCTTGGTGCCCCTGCTATGCCTCCCCATAATGCTCCTGAACAATATACCTGTAAGGTTTAAATACTATCCTATTTTATCAAATACTTGTAATAATAGTAACTAATTTTCTTTCAGGAATACCGCTGCATGTACCTGCTTTTGGTTATGGCCATCTTTTGGGTGACGGAAGCCTTGCCGCTTTACATTACATCCATGATCCCAATTGTGGCTTTTCCAGTAATGGGAATAATGGTAAGATTTCAGTTAAATTTTTTATATTAATAATACATTTTACTAATGATTTGTTTTGTTTATTTTTAGGATTCTAACAAGACTTGCAGTCTGTACTTCAGAGACACGCTGGTCATGTTCATGGGCGGCATTATGGTGGCATTGGCTGTGGAATACTGTAATCTCCATAAGCGTCTCGCTCTGAGGGTAATCCAGATCGTGGGCTGCAGTCCCCGCAGGTAAATTAACTCATTAGAGAATAATAGCTTAGCATTTAACTCATTTGTTCCCCGACAGATTACACTTTGGCTTGATTATGGTCACCATGTTCCTGTCCATGTGGATCTCGAATGCCGCCTGCACGGCCATGATGTGCCCCATTATCCAGGCTGTGTTGGAGGAATTGCAGGCTCAGGGTGTTTGCAAGATCAACCACGAACCTCAATACCAAATTGTTGGAGGAGCCAAGAAGAACAACGAAGATGAGTAAGTACTACAGCTTTAAGCCTTAAGACTTAGTTATTCTAAAAATTTTCATTTTTTTAGGCCTCCCTACCCCACCAAGATCACTCTGTGCTACTATCTGGGTATTGCCTACGCTTCTTCTTTGGGCGGATGTGGTACCATCATTGGAACGGCCACTAACTTGACCTTCAAGGGCCTCTATGATACCCGTTTCCCCAATGCGACCGAACAAATGGACTTCCCCACCTTCATGTTCTACTCGGTGCCTTCAATGCTGGTGTACACCGTGCTGACGTTTGTGTTCCTTCAGTGGCACTTCATGGGTCTGTGGCGTCCCAAGAGCAAGGAGGCCCAAGAGGTCCAGAGGGGCAATGAGGGTGCCGATGTGGCCAAGAAGGTTATCGATCAGCGCTACAAGGAACTGGGACCCATGAGCATTCACGAAATCCAAGTTATGATTCTGTTCATTATCATGGTAATCATGTACTTCACCCGCAAACCGGGCATCTTCAGTGGCTGGGCAGATCTTCTGTCTGCGAAGTAAGAGGATTTATTTATTAAGATATATGACAAGTACCCAACTAATACCTTTTGTTATAATCCTCCCAGGGTTGTTGGAAACTCTATGCCGACCATTTTCGTTGTCATCATGTGCTTCGTCTTGCCCGCCAACTATGCTTTCCTCCGTTACTGCTGCGGAAAGGGTCCCGTGCCCACCAGCACCACTCCTTCCCTGATCACCTGGAAGTTCATCCAGACCAAGGTGCCATGGGGTCTGGTCTTCCTGCTGGGCGGTGGCTTCGCTCTGGCTGAGGGCAGCAAGGTCAGTGGTATGGCCAAGCTTATTGGCAGTGCCTTGATTGGCCTGAAGGTTCTCCCCAATGCTGTTCTCTTGCTGGTTGTGATCCTGGTGGCTGTGTTCCTGACAGCCTTCAGCTCGAACGTGGCCATTGCCAACATTATTGTGCCAGTGCTGGCAGAAATGGTGAGTTTTAATGCTTTATTTTTGTGGTTTTTAATTTTTGTTAATTTAAATCATACCTTTTCAGGCTCTGGCCATTGAGATTCATCCACTTTACCTGATCCTGCCCGCCGGTTTGGCCTGCAGCATGGCCTTCCACCTGCCGGTGAGCACACCGCCAAACGCTCTGGTCGCTGGATATGCCAACATAAGGACGAAGGACATGGCCATTGCTGGCATTGGACCCACCATCATTACCATTGTGATTCTGTTCATTTTCTGCCAGACCTGGGGCCTGGTTGTCTACCCCAACCTGAACACGTTCCCCGATTGGGCCAGGGCCGCCGCCCTCAATGCCACGCATTAGTTAGTTAGTCTCTAGTTAACCCCTACTCACGCAGACCCACGGAGCGATGAAGATCATAAAGAGAATTAGGGAATTGTACAAGAAAAGTGCCTTTTGCTGACAGAAGAGTGTGACACAATGTTTAGGGTAAATGCATTTCTGATTTGCAGAATCTTTTGATACAAAACATTATCTAATATTTAGCGAAAATGTGTAGAAAAAAAAGTAGAATAGGTGGGGAGGTTCTTCAGCCACAAACTCAGCTAAATATCTAAATACTTGTTAATGTTACTTAATCGTTGCATTTAGCAGAGAAGATATCAAAAATGCAAAGAAAAGCGTTCATGGCGGCATAAGCTTGCCTTTATTTTTCTAAACTAGACTGAGAACGTATATATTCATACATGTTTTGCAATTTATAAACTATTTGTAACGAACAACTTACTCAATACTTGATTGCAAACGGAAACAGCACACAAATAGCGTTTAGATTAAGTTAAATGATACTGTGTAAATTTTCAAATGATTTATGTTTTATATAGTTTTTAATTAAAAAGTAAAATAAAAGCTCAAAATTACATATTCGTGTTTTATTCAAAAATAAAAATTAAAGCAAATACATTATGACTGTGCCGGCTTGAAAACAGCATTTTTGTAAACCCTATAAAAGTAAAAAAAAGTTAATGTGTAGCAATCATTTTTGAAATTGAATTCAAAAGTAACACAGTATGGCAGCTCTTGGAAACATTTTACAACAAGGTGGCACACCTTTAAATCGATAACACCTGCAACTATCGATAGCTCACAATCGATGTTTTAAAATTTAAATTTAAAACATAATTTAAATATTTTAATATAAAAATAAACAATCAAATAACCCGGGAACAAAAAAAATATAATGAAACTTTTTCCAAAATTTTAACATAAGGCTTGTTTCTATTTTTGTTCATCCAGGACAAGAGTCTATATCTTGGCCAATACTTGGCCGATTTCTGATCGGAACAGCCTAAACGATTTCTAGATCGATTCTCCATAATTCGGCATCAATATCTAAGAACAAAATATTTTTTAGATTTTTTCGACATTTTTCTGGGGGATCCCCTTCATAAATTGTGAAAACCACCTGGAAGGACAAAATGGCCCACAGCGATGGCTATATCTCGGTCAGTTCCCATCCGATTCTCGAGCGGAACACCTTAAACGATTTGTAGATCGATTCTCCATCATTTTGCATCTAAATCTAAGAACAAAATAATTTTTAGATTTTTTCAACATTTTCTGGGGGATTTCCTGCAATAAATGACAAAATTGCCTACAACGATGGCTACATCTCGGCCAGTTCGCATAGGAAGGAAGGACCTTATGGCCTCCAGTTATCCTTAAGTAATAATTACACATTTTTATCAAAAAATAGGTATATGAATTTATTTGTAACCATTGCGTATAAATTTATTAAGTGTATAACTACGACAATTTTGAATATCAAAACAAGACAAGCACATCGTATGGGTAAAGTATTTTAGCCCGCAACCAAGGAGCCGAAAGCGTTTCGCTTTGTTAGTCATAGTCGGATTGGGAATCGTTGGACAGAATTCCAGGGGCGTAACTATTAAGGCCAGAAATCGGATGGGATTTCAGAGAATCGACCGCCTCGCTTAGAACTTCGAGGACTTGGCCAGGTTAAGAGCTTCGGTGAGCATGCGGCCGAAGTCGGCATGGACCAAGGTGAAGTTCTTGACAGCGCGCTCCTGGAGGAACTGGCTGGCGTTGTTCAAGTGATCGGCAATGTTCTGCACCAGGCGCTTCTTGGCGCACTTGTCCAGTGTGTGCACCCAGAAGTCGGTGACCTGGCCGTAGTTGTCCTCGGTATCACCGCTGCTGAAGCGATAGACATCCCCGGTAACCGGGCAGCAGGTGGACAGAGCCCTGGCCCTCGGGCACTCCTGGGGTCCATTGAACGAGTTCGGGAAGTAGTTGGGGGAACCGTCCTGGTTGTCGGTCACGTTCATGAATCCATCGCGCTGGTAGTTGTTCACCTTGACCTTGTAGGGACAGTTGACGGGAATCTGCAAGTAGTTGGGTCCCAGGCGATGGCGATGGGTGTCCGAGTAGGAGAAGAGACGACCCTGGAGCATCTTGTCGGGAGAGGGCTCAATGCCGGGCACCATGTGGGCGGGGCTGAAGGCAATCTGTTCCACCTTTATGATAAAAAAAAGAATAAATTTTAATAAAAATATAAAATAAATTAATAAGAAGCTATTGTACCTCAGCAAAGTAGTTCTTGGGGTTACGATCCAGCACCATTTTGCCCACCGGGATCAAAGGATACTCCTTGTGCGGCCAGACCTTGGTCACGTCGAAGGGATTGTACTTGAACTTCTTGGCCTCGTCGAAGGTCATCACCTGGATGTACATGGTCCAGCTGGGGAACTTGCAGGTCTTGATCCTGTTGTACAAGTCCCGGATGCTGTAGTCGGGATCGCTGCTGGCCAGCTGATCAGCGGCCTTCACGTCCAGATTCTTGATGCCCTGATCCGTCTTCAGATGGAACTTGGCGTAGATCGGCTCACCCTTGGCATTGACCAGCTTGAAGGTGTGCGATCCGTATCCGTTCATGTGGCAATAGCCATCGGGAGTGCCACGGTCGCCGAACAGGAAGCACACCTGGTGCGTGGACTCGGGACGCAGGGTGAGGAAGTCCCAGAACATGTCGGGATCCTTCAGATGCGTCTGGGGGTTCCTCTTCTGAGTGTGAATGAAGCTGGGGAACAGGATGGGGTCGCGAATGAAGAAGATCGGCGTGTTGTTGCCTACCAGATCCCAGACGCCGTCCTCCGTGTAGAACTTGACGGCGAATCCGCGAGGATCACGGGCCGTATCGGCCGATCCGCTCTCGCCGCCCACCGTGGAGAAACGCACGGCCAGAGGGGTGCGCTTCTTGACCTTGTCGAACATCTTGGCGGCACAGTACTGGCTAATGTCGTGGGTCACCTCGAAGTAGCCAAAAGCGCCGGCTCCCTTGGCGTGGACAACGCGCTCTGGAATGCGCTCGCGATCGAAGTGCGACATCTCATCGAGGAAGTTAACATCCTGGAGCAGGACAGGACCGCGGGGACCCACAGTCTGAGTGGCATCCTTGATGCCAATGGGTGCACCATGACCGGTGGTAACAACTCCTGGTGAAACCTGTAAAATAAATGCAATTTTTTTATTAAAAAATAAAGTTTAAAAGCTTAATTGGCAATTACTGACTAGCCTCCATATTTTGTTTTAAAATGTCATGCTTTAATTTAATTTTATAATTGCTGTTTTCTTTAAAAACAAAATAAGTTACGTAAGACGCTTGCCGGTCTTGGTTGCAAAGTGCAATTCTCTGATATTTTTTCTTATATAATCCCAGTTCAAAGTGTCGTCTAATCTTATCGTCCTGTTTGGTGATAATTCTTATTTTTGAGGCTTGGACAGTTTTATTTTTTTGTTACTAATCTGTGGGGTCTTTTTTGGCAAAAACATAAACATAAAGATTGCAGAGCTTTATCTCATCGTGGGGGGTCACTTTCAGAGGCTTTTTAAAAAGAAGAAATGTTGGATTGGAAACTATAAACTGCAAACCCCTAATTATTTTAATGAATTTAAATACCTTTAAACTTCCATTTCATTGTACCCCCTTAGTCTTTATCATTTACCTTCAAATGTGATCTTTTTAGTCATTTTCAATTAATTTCCCTGGAGTAATCGGACACCACTCCCTAATCGCTATATCGTTTTATTTGACATGCAAGCTACCCACTCATTATAACAATTTGCAAAACTGTCACCGGCTTAATGCGCACTGTTTTGTTAATAAATTTAAGAGCCAGCCCCCCGGCAACAACATGCGAAATTTTAATTCAGAAAGCATTTCTAGAACACTGCAATCCACAATCCAAAGTTGTATATCAAAGTGAAGCCTCGGGTGATGTGCCGAACATACAAATTAAGCTTCTACTGTTTACTTATAAGTCATTCCAGGTTAGGATTAGTCACTGGGAGGGTCATAATAAAGGGATTGTTAAGGAAATACGCCCCTATCTTTTTATCTTAGCTTGATAACCAGAAGCTGTAGCTATAAAGAGTGATATATATAAATTCCAGATATTTCACAAAAGATTCTTAAAATTTCATTATAAACAAGCTTTAAAAACAAAAACAAATCCCGGTTTTAAAATGCAAAATTATCACCTTTTAGTGCTGACCTTGTTTTTGATCTTTTCGTATAAATTTCTAATTTCTACCAGGCTTCTTTCTGCATTCTTTTAGTTGATTTTTTTGTGGCGATTTAATCAGAACTGTTTGCACTTTGAAACAACAAAGGGGGCCACCACTTCAGAGTGCAGATACCGGGAATGGGACTCGAATCCCCAACCACTCCCTACCAAACAAGTCAATCTGGTTCCTATCAGTACATACATATGTGTGACTATATAGTACATATATGCTTTCATATATCTCCAGGCAAAGAGCAAACTGATAAGAAGACCCCTCGACTCGATCTCGAATGCAAAATATACGTATCTACAAAGTACATATATGACAGATACAAGCAAGTTTTAATTGCAACTTGTAGCAGAATGTCAAGATGTTAATGAGGTAGGCTTATACGATTTGAGAAACTGATAAATTTTTATCAGTACGATATTATTCATCAGACAAAGTAAGGAGGCTATAGAGGTCGGTACTTCCCTTGCATTTTTGGAATTTCTTGAAATAGTTCTTCCATTAAGGTCTTGCAACAGATTCTCCTAATGAAACAAAGAAACTAATTGCCATGATTAATTTAGCAAAACAAAGGCAAACATTTAATTGCCTGATAGAATGCAGTTTTCACAGTTTCGTCATAGAAGGTCAAAAATCGACTAAAACAACACGAACGTACCTCTTTTTTTCTGGGTCGCAACATTTCGTAACATTGTCTCACATACATACTATAGAGGTATAGTACTTATGGTATAGTCGAGTTTCATTCAATTGCATAACCAAATCGGTGAAAGAAAATTAACATTAAGTTATGGCTGGCAAACGCATTTTCCTGGTGGCTGGTACACGGCCCATAAACTGGTTTCTTGGCCAGAGCCCAGAGCCAGAGTTCGTTGTCGCCACGATCGGCGGCCTCAACCAGTTTATGCAACATTGAGCCGGTTGCACAAAAGTGCATTGACTTTAAGTGATTTTTCCAACCTTATAATAGCAGTCTACACTATAAACTATTTTTTTATAATTATTTTTATTGTTTTAGTTTATTTTTGAAAGTTTATTCAAGGTCGTAACGGTCTATTTTTCATAAAAGGTGTACTTTTCAATAGTTTTTGTATTGTTGCCCTACCTAGTCTATAATTGGCCAACAAATCTAATCTTTTTGGGCCAATTACTTAGCTAGTTTTGCGTTTATCAAATGAATATTTCATTTCATTTATTGATTTATGGAGAGGGTGTGGAAAATCCATTGCGAAATTGCTGTGTAATTAGAGATCTATAAATAAAAGTCATTTAATTGAAAGGGAATTAAGGGTAATATTTTTAATAATTATTAACCTTATTTATTGTATATTTTTAATAGTTAAAATAGTTGTATTTTGAGATGTAATTAGTTTAATATGTATGTACATTTTGTAAATATATTCTAATATTATAATTTTTATTTAGAATACCACATTGAAATTCTGCAAAGTTTTGGTATAATTAGGCACGATTTGTCAATTGAAAAAAACACTTGAAAATTTTATAGATTTTACAAAAAAAAGGCAAATAATTAACACAAAAGTGCAAACTATTCCAGCACGATTTATAAAGAAAAAACTATCTTCCTTATATACCCTAATACCTATCATCTGGACATATATTTTCCTATTTTAAAGATTTCAAAAAAATTAAGATCTAGTATGTCATGATTTGAAAATAATGAAATTCAAAGACAAAAGCCAAAAGAAAATGCAAATGCAAATGAAAACGCAAAAGAAAATGAGAAAAATACAAAACAAAACCATTCGGGCAAAGGTTAGCCAAGGTTAGAAGGGAAATTAAAAAAAATTAACCAAACTTTCAGATTCGAATTTGAACCTAATCCCAAATCCAGTAAGAACTTCAGCAGCCAGGGGGTGATAAACGTTATCAGTAGAAGGTTCTGATAAGATTCGTATAAATAAACCAAGAGAGTATAAGAGATAGAGGTCGCTCTTGAACTTTGAACTGTTCGCCGTGCCGTTCACTTTCGTTACAATATATTATTGCTTTGTGGCAGTTTGCATTTTTAATGATTAATAATCTACTGACTCTCAGCATTCGTCGTGTTAATTGTCTTGTTTTTTGTTTATTTCATTTTGAACAATGATTCTGCCGCCAGCACCACCCCTCAGTCTTTCTCCTCTCATTCACAGACCGGCGAACAAACACACACACACACCTGTGCTTGCTCTCACCCACACCCACTTACCGTTTGGGAGTTTTTGTAGTCAATCAACTGGTTCGATGCGGCGTCGCGTGCAGCCATTTTGCCTCAATTTTCTATATTCTCAAGTGAAACAACCTGAATTTTGATGTACAAACTGGTCGGGCACTCGACTGTCAACTAAATAGGACTGTTGATATTATACAAAAAATATCATATATCGATATTGTTTGTTTATGTTTATATCGGGATATGTGTGTTTATTTTTTTTTTATATTTCCTGATTCCAGCGACTATATTACTGAAACTCTGGCGAGCGACTGTGCGGATACGCGATGGTGTGGTGGTTTTTACCAAGCCATGGGTGGGAGTTCGCCAGCTGATTGACGCGTTTCGTGGTGAATGCCAACGATAGTCGATAACTATATGTGGCGCGCAATTTTGAATCGAAAGGGAGCTAGAGAAGTACAACTTCTGTTCTTTATCCACGGCGGTGGGCAGCTAACACTAACAGTTATTTCTAAGGTGGATAAAAATCAATGATATAGATGTTTCTTGATAATGAAGGAACTACCTACCATGCGGATGCATGGGAGAAGTAGTAGCCCTCCCATTAGCTCACTTATCCAGCAGTGACTCAGTATTGCCTAATTGAGTCCACCAAGAACTGCATCTGTATTAAGTAGCACCCGATTCCTAGCACAGCTTCTCTTCCAGGGCTTGGTGCATTTTCGTTCGGAGGATGTTTGCCACCGTTAGCAATAAAATAGAATAGATAAAAGTTTAAATAAAGATTAAAACGTGTATTTCCATATTGTTTTTAATTTACTATTCACCTCTTCAAGTGTAGCCATCGGTCCCGAATTGCTTTTTGGTCACCCACTGCCTTGTAGGGCTTGCCCAAGACCCCCTGACATTTATGCTTCTTGTGGCTGCTAAAGTTCGCATGGGCTTGTACATATGGGCGAATTCGACATTGGATAGTTTTCACCACATTCAAGCCCTTCATCATGTGGCAGCAGTGCTCACACTGATATGGTTTGGTGGTCCACGTCCTCCCGCTTCCGTGGACCACCGACGTGGACCACCGGCAGCCATGATCGTTTCTGTATGACCGGTGATGCTTCACCCCCACCGTAGCCAAGACCGAAAAAAAAACCATCACTTACGATAAAAACCATTTTACCAACTCTGGGCTTGTAGGAGAACATAGTTTTAATTTTTAGAATACAAAATATAATTTAAGAGCTCAATTTGTTTAAATGCAGCAAAGCGCATTTATTTCTTGCGAGAAGGCAACCATATTATTCCAAATATATATTTTCATTAATACTTGAACCCATAGATCCATGAAGTTTGTAAAAAATTTCAAAATGTTTAAAAAATTTAATAACATTGGCGCCCAAGGACCGAGATGGATGACCGGGAAAGAAGAGATCCTTAAGAATGGGTACGCATCGGTTTCAAGGCTTTTCAATTTTTATCTTGAAAAGAAAACCAGTTTTCTTAGCTTTCGAGGAGTTCCATATAATAACAATGAATATTACAAAATACGTTCTTAGATGTATAATATAATAAATTGTTATAATTAATAAATCATAAGTTTTATAATCGATAGGAGTCTGAATTTCAATTACAACCTATTTGTAATTTCAATTGAAAAATATCATGGAACTAAAACCGAAAGAACATTTTTGGACAAGTGTGCCATGCCTTCAAAATGTCAAATTTTTTGCTATAAATACGGCTGCCCGAGCTGGAGTTTGTTCATTCGTAATCCATCCTTCCAAATTATACAACGTACAAAGCAATATAGGTTAAGCAAAAAGTGAAATTTTTTTTATAAAATATTTTTTTTTCGGACAAAATTACAAAAAAAAATATATTTTTTATTGAAAACTCAAAAAAAAAAAACATGCAAGTTGGGTAAGTTGAAACATTTTTATAAGAAAATATTAAAATATTTATTACTTTATTAGTTTTATTTAGTTTAGTTAGCTTAAATTATTTATTTAATTTTAATTCAAAAAGCTTTGAATTTATTAATTCCAATTAAAACTTTAAAAACAAAATCTAAAACTATTTCTAATGAAAAACTTAATCAATTCTTTGCAGATTCAGCAGCTCCTGGATTCAGCACTAACTGGAAAAAGTCTCGCCCACACACGAAGGACGAGTGTCTTCCAAATGCTTTCTAAGTCGACTTCGAAACAACGTCCTGGAAAGTCCATCTTCCATTCAAGCTAGAGATTTGCCCAAAAACTAGCTTCAATCCAAAAACCATCTAAAGCACAGCAACACCAAAAGCACAAAGATTAAACGTAACTTGAAACATCTCTAACCCACGGCGATCACACAATTGGAAAGAATTCACACAAAAAATCAAGACTAAAAATAAGGAAACCCCCTCTTCCTTGAAATACACATAAAAGGCCCCCCCAATAAACAATTTATATATTTTGATACTACCCCAAAAATGTGGCTTTTATTATGAAAAAAAAAATATTTTTTTTAGGTCTTATTGAAATTAGTAGAGTACTTATACGATAAAAACTAATTTTATTAGTTAAAAAATAAAAAAATAATAAATATTAAAATAAAATTGTATTTTTATTTCAGTCAATATTTTCAATTTAATTTTTTTCGAAATATTTTTTTTATGGCATTTCCAAAATTAGTGGAAGATTGATAAAAAAAAATGATAAAATTATATGAAATGTTTATATCAAAATTTAAATTCAAAATTCAAAACGACAGTTTTTTTCAACCGATTCGTGGCAGGGCTGTCACATAATACAAACTTATCGATAATAGTACATAAAACCGTTAAATTTTTTTATATTAAAATTAATAATATTGATAATATTAATAATAATGTAATATTTACTTAAAATATAAACCTTCGAATACTGAATATTATGAATTTAATTTTGATTCCTGAAATTGTATAATATTTTTGTGAGAGAAATAGTTTTCTTCGTTTTCCATTTCCGTAATAGATTTAATTCTATAAATATAAGTGCCTTTTTTTGAATGTGGTGTCTTCAATATATTTCGTGAATCATTTTTCAAAATACTGTGATTTGGAAAATAAAATATCTAAAGAATAATGTAGCCTTTTTTAACTCCACAAGTATTAACGCGTTTTTGGCTTTTATGTAGCCGTTTTTTGGGATTTTAGCCATAAGTTGAGTTTAGACAAGAGCTGGTTTCTTTCATTAGTCCCGCTGCGGTCACACTACTCTCCCGCTCTCGTCTCGTCTCGTCTGATTTCTTTTTATAACAAATTTCAAACATATACACATAATGTATATATAAATATAATGTGCAACATATATAATAGCTAAAAACAAGTGCAATCCCCCGACAACTTCAAATGGCAATCCAATTTACGTAAAACGCGACGGAGACCCTCAACCAAAAAAAAAGAGAAAGAAACGGCGCGTGTGAAATTTTTTCAAGCAAAGGAGAAGTTGGAGCACCAACAAATAAAAAAAAAAAACGAAAAAGAGAACAAAAATACAACAACACAAAGTAGGCCAACAACACAAGCATAGCAAGCAAGCAAGCAGCGGCAACAACAACGACGACCGAAAAAGAAGTCTGAAAAAAAAGCAGAAACCTTGTAATTGTGTCAATAAATGTTTTAAATTATATTTCCTTTGGGGAAATACTATGTGTGTGAATGTCTGTCTGTGTGTGTATGAGGAGGAGTGCATGTGTGTGTGTGTGCGTGTGGCGGCGAGACAAGTGAAATTTTCTTTGTTTCCCTGCGGGGGAGGCAAAAAAAAAAGAAAAAGAAAAAAAAGAGTCAAGAAATGAAGTTGCCTTGAAACAAAAAACCTTCCCCCCCTACCCCACGTCTGAGTGTGAGTGTGTGTGTGTGCCTCGTTGTCTGGCCGTGTATATGTATCTGTGTGTGTGTGTGTGGCAATGAACGTTGAGCAACAACAATTTATATTTATTTTTTTGGAATTTTTGCGTCGTTTATTATACACACGCTGCTTGCTAGCTTATTTTGAAATAAAAATAAATGATGAATTATATATTGCAAAAGTTAAAGCCTTAGTAGATAGTGCACTTGAAGTTGAAAGATACAAAGATACAAATATATCTTTTTATCTATAAGATATTATAATATCTGTTTTAACGCGTTTTCTTGCTTTTTAGGGCAGTGAAAATCGCGCAAAATGTGCAACAAGAAGCCGAAAAACAACAACAGCGGCTTTAAGGCTGCTGGACAGGTTTCCCACGGCTAACAAAAACACCAAAAACAACAGCAAATTTCACGATATTTAAGAAAAAAAAAAAAAAAAAGGAGCATAAGAAGCAGCAGCAATGCGTGAACCGCGAAAGCAAAGTGAAATTCATGACAACACCAACAGCAACAACAACAACAGCAGCAGCAGCGCCAGCTTAGCGGCTAAAAGAAACCGTTATTCAACAATTTATTAAATAAAAAAAAATATATACAAGTGAAAGAAGGCACAAACTACTGGTTTACAAAAAATAAAATAAAAAGAAAGAAAGAAAAGAGAGAAAAAGTTGCTGCACGAGAAATTTTGTACGTGTATCGTCTCCCCATTTCTATATATCTCTCTCTTTCCTTTTCTCTGCATGTGTGTGCCTGTCTGTCTGTGTGTTGTGTGTGTATGGAGTGGAGTAAAGTGAAAAGCAATGTTGAAAGGAATTACAACAACAACAACGACAAGAAGAGAGTACTGAAGTTTTATGCGTCGAGTGCAGTTATCATAAATAACAGTAAAAGGAATTAATTAGCAACCCAGAACATACAATCAAAAGCAACTACTTAAAGGTGATTATTACTAACTTTGTTTTATTTCTAGTATTAAATATTAGTCTTAAGATTTTTAAAATAAAAGTTTCATAATTACACTGTTGCCATGTGTTATTTTGCCGTTAATTAATTGAGAGCAAGGGAAAGGTAACGAAGCATTCTCTGCTCCACTCTGCTTTAGTCTGGGTGTTGTTGTTTTTGTTGTGGACCATGCGAAATGGTTGGCTACAGGTGGCTTATTTACAGTTACTTTTAGCTTGTTCTTGATAACAGCTGGCCTGGCCTGGTCTTCTGTTTCTTATTCTTTACTGTCTTCACGCTTGTTCTTCTTGCGTAAAGCTTAATTCTTCAGCTTCTCACGGTTGTCGAAGATTTTTTGGGTTTTTATGATGGGGGGTTTCTCAAAGAAGGTCTTTAAACGACTTTGAATTAACGGTAACAGGTAAAGATTACTGACGATGGTTCTTTAAAAGATGTTATCTTTTAGTCATTAATAGGGAAATGTTAAAGGAAATGAGTTTAAATTAAAGAAAGGTAGTATTTTTGATAAATAATCTATATATATAACTCTTAACTTGATTGATTCGAAAACCTACCTCCCAAGAATCCTACCATTTCATAGTCTCCTAATTGTTATCCATATAAATTTCGCACTTGTCTGAACATGTTTGAATTATGAAGTTGGTGATTTTGTACTATTTTTATTATATAATATATGATTGCTTAGAAAACTTATGTACTTAAGTATCCTACCATTTCATACTCCCCTTATGGTTCTTCATTTCAAGTTTTTACATGTCTAAGCATGTTTGAATTATTATTTGGTTCTATAAAGTCTCTACCAAGAAAATGAGTATTTTTATACCAATAAGGTAAAATATAATGATTATAATAATACTGAATGATTTAATGATAAAATACTTCCAAAAAAAACCTTCTTCCCAATACCCTTTCATAGTCTTCTAGTGGTTCTTCATTTAAATATCTGAACTTTGAATTATTCTAAAAAACCTCTACCATGAAAGTTAGTAATTTTTTTTTACTAATCATGTAAAATATAATTATTCCTAACATAATACTTGCCAAGTACCTTACCATTTCTTAGTGTCCTTATAGTCTCGTAATAAATTATTATTAAAGTTTCGTACATATCTGAAAATGTTGGAATTATTCTGAAAAGCCTCTCTCTACCATGAAAGTTAATATTTTTGTACAATTAATATAATATATGGTTATGAACCTTATGGATTAGAACACCTTCTTCCCAAGTATTCCCTACCACTTCATATTCTCCTAATACATCTTTGTTTAAATTTGATACATGTCTAAACATGTTGGAATTATTCTAAAAAGCCCCCACCAATGCCAGCCACTTGCCTGTTTATTTGCTTGTCTCTCACCTGCCTCACCTGCCAGTCATGGATAAACGATCATCATTTGGATGCCTAGCGACCTCAACATTCTACTGACACATATTTTTGCATTAAACTCGAATCGAATGCACTTGTACTTGTGCATTCCCAAATGGCAATGTTTGCATAGTTCGATCAAATAGTTGGAATACCCCCCTAAAGCACTCGCTACAAGTCACGTTTCACGTTTCTTTAGAAGGTTCAGGTTTGTTATCAGCTTGTAGAATGATTCTCTATATAGGAGGGTATATGTTGGTTTTTGGTTGGAAATTTAATAAATGATTCATATGTTAGTCATAAACTAAAGAAACTAGAACTATAGAATCTTTTTATTTTGAATTTAAAATGTTTATTTATATTTTCTACATTTGTTTATAAATATCAGAACTCAAGTTTCTCAAAGCTCTCAACCTTATCATCCAAAAATTGATAACAAGGGGGAGCTACAATAAAACAGTTACAATGTTTGGCTTTGTAGATTGTGGAACTGTAGAATGTTTGAAGGAGGGAGGGGGCTGTCTAGAGGTGGAATGAAATATAAAACCAGAAATCGTAGCTGAAACTACAGCTGTGCTCGATTCGTTGAGGTTGATAATTAGCTTTAGTCGATCCGACCCGCCCTTGCTGTACCGCCCACTGTTATACCCCTTAGTACTTGAGCTATCTCTACGCTTAAACGGTTTTCTGTTGGCCTTTTTTTTCTCTTTTATTTTTTTTTGCTAAAAGCAGTTAACCGGTTTGTTTCGAAACAAACAGAGAGAAAACCGAAAACAGAAAACAGAACAAGCCAAGATTGTTGGCTCTATGAGTTGCTGGCTCGAATGAATGACGTTAACTTTGAAGAAATATCTTCAAGTTTATGTATCTCTATAGATGACACTTGTATCTTATATATATTTCTCAATCTTTTCTAATAAAATGTAACAAAATTATTGTAAATAGTAATAGGCAGTAAATATTAATTTTAATTCTCAACACAAAGAGGCAACTATCTGGGCACTTTAAGGCCTTATCTCTCAGATAGCATATCAAGTAATTTCATTATTGCGTGAAATTAAAGACTTATGGTATCAAATTTCCGTCAACTAGTCTTTCCGGATTATCTTGACCATAAACCGTAAATACATATTAATTAAGTTTATTTATAAGGTGAGGAATATTGAAATCTTTTCAATTTTTTCGGCTTTTAAACTCGCATTTATTTCAACTTTGTTCTGAAAACTTTAGCTTCATAAATTGAAGCTGAAATCCTCTTCCGAAATCCCTTCCATTTGCTGCTTCATTTCACCCATCACTTCACTGCACTTTTCACAACCTCCTCCCCACATTCACACACATTTTCCCTTCCCTTTTTCCCGCTTTTCTCTTATTTTTCTGGTTTTTTTTTTAAGCAAACTATAAATTTACTTTGTCTGCCCTTTTTGCCAACTTTGTTTACTTTGTTTATTTTTAGTGAGTGTGTGTGTTGGTCAGATACTCTCACAGATACTATACACAAATCTAACAACTTACCAGCTCACTTGCTGACTAGACAAAATTCTAAAATAAATATGTACATACGAGTATGTACGATATGTAAACTTCCTCGCATTTCACTTGTCTTACTCGGATTTCAGCAGGGAAACTTTAGCCTCTAACTGATTGCTTTAAAAATATATGTGAATTAAAGGAAAAGTCTGTAGATTTAAATATAACTGTTTGGTTGGTTTTAATGATCTTTTAAGGGGGTGTTATAATTGTGGTTATATGTAGGTAGAGAAAAGGAGTAATATGTACGCTGTAAAGGAGACATCTACATCATGTACATAAAGGAAGACATTCATATATATTTTTAATATTCTTGAAAAGATCCTCTTTAGAATCTATAGAGACATCCGTCCGTATGTCTGTTTCTAAGACTGCCAGTCTTCAGTTTTAAAAAATCTTAAGTTCTCAGACTATGTTTATTCTGTAGCTACCCTAAATTCCAACAATCGAATATATGCCATAACTGTGGTGTTTTCGAAGAGATAGAAGGTACAATATACATAGGTAGTATTTCAATATAAGGTTTCTATTATTCCACTGATGTTATCGTAATATTCGTAATATTTTCGTAATAAATTCGTATTCGGAATTAACTTCCTACTAGTAGGAAATTCGCAATATTTTAAAATTCACTTAAATATCTACCATATATAGCCAATATGTACAATATATGTTTATCCTATAATATAATAAAATAGTCACAGAATAGTACAAATAGAGTAATTTAATAGAATAGTCTTGATAGAATAGAATTTAATAGAAATATAATCTAAAAGGGTATATAACCTTCGTCTACTTTGAAAGTTATCTTTTCTTTCTTGTTTTCAAGTGGTTTATTTCGTTTTTTTGGTTGTCCCCTCATAAATAGCCTGCCCAACTTGTTGATATTATTATATTGTTTTGAATAAATTTTATTCGGTTTAATGTGACACCTGTTGAAGCGAGAACACAATTTCGAGGTTCTCGAGATACAGTTTACAAAGAAGAATGAATGAAATAAAATATCAAAGAGAGAGTTAGGGTAAATGAACTTGACAATTAGGTATCTTAAGAGTATAATTGTAGTAATTTTAGTATAATTTTAGTAAATATTATTAAAGTACAAACTTCAGATAGATAAATGATATATTATTGTATATTTGCAATTAAAATCGAAAAAGAGGCTCTATAACATATTGTTCCTTTTTATAACCTTATTATAAGAACTTTTCAAGATCAGGAGTAGACTTTTAAAGATCTGAGATAAATTGAAAAGAACTAAGGTATATTTAAAAGAGCTTTTATAGGTGTTATTGTAAATGAAAGGCATAATAAATACATATATCATAATATTGCTTACTTAATCATAAATTATGTACTTTATAAGAACTTTTCAAGATCAAGAGAAGTCTTTTAAAGATCTGTATAATGTTTAAAGAAACTAAAAGATACCCCAAGTGATGTTTATATACACATGTATATTATTAATAAGCTTCAGTCCCACAATAAACCCCTTTATTATATTAAATCTTAATTTTCTTCTCTGCTCTCTGGCTTTCCCATACAATTTCATAATTCTCCTTGATTAGTTTGTTAAATAGAAAGCAGAACGGAACTGAAGTAATACTAATGACAACAATCAGAACACAAGTGACTGCCCCAGAACGAGGTGGGGAGGGGGAGCAATGCAAATGGAATTTGTGTCACTCATTTGGCGTGATCTAATTTCGTATAATGTGGCATTTGTTACCTTATATCTTTATATGTATGTATGTAGTGTGTATATGGTATGAATGCGAGATTGAGAGTATACTACTAGTACTACTAGTAGTACTACTACTAGTAGGTGTGAAATTCAGGTTAAATAATTACGATTCATTGAAGTTATTATGGGAAATTTAATGGTTAATTATACGCAAATATTCGAGTTGAGGGAGATTGTTAATGGAGGTAGTAGAGCATGGCAGATGTATAGATAACAGAATGAGAATTAAAATAAATAATCAAACATATATGTATTAAAATAAAGGTATAGCTAGTTATCTCTTACCTTACCGATAGTGAGTTTCTTAATTTTCCCTATTTTAAACTCTTTATGTT